AGATTTCAGTCGAATCATACTAAGGGCAGCTTCTGGGAAAACCATTCTAAATGTTTTCATTTTAATTGCATTTTCTGAATAAACTAAAGTTAATCAGTTAAGTTTGATGAAATGACGCTTCAACAAATGTAATCGGTAACTGATGCAAAGGGCTTTTAAAATCAAGCAAAAGTTTTAGAGTTGAACTATTTATAGCTTTGCTTTCGGCGTAATCACGTTGCCCTCAGAAAGAATCTTTTTCCAGTGAAAAAGTAATTAGGAAGCTATTTCTGAATCTTGAATAGTTTTCTCCTGACAATTCTTGTACAATTTTCCAAGTATGTTAAAAGCAAAGAAAATAAATAAAACATGAGAAAAAGCAATAGTCTAGTTTCTCGACTATCACCATTACTCAGCTAGTGGATTGGCGAAGATGAATTTTCACAATTTTTTTGGCAAATCGAAAAAAAATTTTTGGAAAAATGGAATAAAAAGAAGGAGAAATAGTTGGGCGGTAGTGTGGGCGTGGCAACATTCTGAAGTAAACTTGCGCAGCGTAGCTCTTAAATTACTAAATTTTATAGTTTCCGAGATCATGACGTTCATACGGACGGACAGACGGACATGGCCAGATCGAGTCGGCTATTGATCCTGATTAGGAATATATATACTTATACTACATACATACTTTTCAACGGTTATAAAAATAAGGATACAGAAAAGGATACCATATCAGAGAAAGATTCTTCGAAGAAAACCTACTAGCTGCAGTCACTTAATTACCCAGTTGCTCCAGATATTACAGCGTTTCGGTGGAAACTGTATTATCAAGTGCAAATATGTGAGGTGACAGTTCTTTTAATTGATGTGTTAGTGTGGAGCACAATCTGCAAGTTCGCACAAATTCTTCAATGACTGAAACAAGAAAAAGAAAGCCAGAGACCGGAAAAGTAGAAAGTGCTTTAATTTTTGGCTGACTGACTTTTCACAACTTTCGCGGTAAATGGGTGTCAGGGGAGGGGCGGTGCGGGGGCAGGGGCAGGGCAAATTCCGGTCGGGGGGATGAGGAGTCGGTTCGCCCAGGAATGAGGTGGCACAGTCACTGGCGTTGGCGCGTGGAGGTAATTGAAGTGACGTTTATGAATGTCATCCGTCAAGCACTCAAGGACATTTACATACAAACGCGCACACATGGACAGCGTGGCACAAACACACACACACCCGCACACGACCACGCACACATGCAGGGACGCGTGGCCCCACAGATGCGAGCTTACACAGATTTTTTTTGTGTCTTACACCCAGTAGCATTTCTCTAGCTAATGGCGTATTCAGTTGCTGTTCATATCGTCCGATCTAAGCATTAATTGGTAAACAGTAGTATAATTTTAAGATTTTTAGTTGGTTTTGTACAGATGGGATAATTTGTAAGGATCACATTATTTTGAAATGATTACGAATTTACCTTTTCCAATAAAATAACATCTAAACGTAAATCTTAGTGTTTATAAAATATTTATTATAATAGAAACATCTGAGCATCTAACATCCGAAGGTAAATCTTAGTATTTATAAAACAATAGATATTATAGAAAGCTAATGTGTTTGAAACCCCCATACAAGTAGATAAAAACAAGCAAGCAGAGGGTAACCCAAAGTCGCAATCCCACTTGTATTTGCTTTTCGCGTTTATGTAGACAAACTCACACACTGCGAGAAATCGAAGGAGATGTGGACAAGGGACGCGCACCGAACCAATACAAACATGAGTTGTCGTCCTGCACGGAAGATGTCAGTGCAGGACCTCCATGAAATTCATTGTGCGTGTGTGCGCGTGTGTGTGTGTGTGTGTGAGTCTATGTCCCTGCTGCTGTGTGTGTTTCTGTGCGGGCTTGTGTGTGAGACAATTTAAAAATAAATACAAGAAACTAGCACAGTACGTGATGGCGGTGGGTGGGTGGTTGTGGCTGTGGGAGTGGGTGGGGATGTGGGTGGCCTGTGGATGTTGCAGGGCCACCAGCGAGGGCAGAATGATAGATTGAGAGGAAGCCCGCAGCAGAAGTCCGCACTTACAGCTCTGCGGACTGTCCCATCCTAGCGAAAGGACTCTGAGATATGGTCCACGGACCGACGGGCCATGTGCGAATCCAGCCGAACCGCTTGCTTTTATAAATTGACAAAGGTTTACCAGGATCCATATATCATTGTCTTGTTTGTGACGCTGATGAGCCCAGATTTGTTTATGCACATGTCCTTTTTATCGCTGGAAAAGTATCTATGCCATCTAGTCTTGTACCAAATTCTTTCTATCCCGCACCCTTTATCCTTATGCCGCGTGGATAGTTCGCTTTCATAAATTGACAGGGCTTTCCCATAACCATATATCATTGCCTTTTGTAAGATAAATTTGGGAAACACGTTATTATAAAACAAACAAAGGTTCTTATTTATACAGTTTATGCTTTTATCAATTATGTTGATTGCAAGTGTATAAGTTCTTTTCACTTTATATTTCTGTTTTCTCCTTTAAATCCTTGTCATCGAACTTTTGAGTTGAGCTTGTATTTTCCTCTCTGATTTGAAACAATTTCCATGCAGGAATATTCTGCAACGTGCCTTTCCTTGCAACATGTGGCATTTTTGCATCAGAAATTCTGTGAAAATCCAGTAACTTTTCACCCCAGCTCTCTTTTCAAATGAGCCTTTAATGTTTCTTTTGCATTCAGTGGCACTTTTCCAACTTCGGTTGATCGATTCTTCCGGAACTCATTGCCTTACCCATGGGAATGCAATTCTGTCTCTTCTTAGAACTGCATCTACATATATGCAAGGATGTGCCTATGTCGGGGCTATAAAGTAATATATGTGTATATATATATGTACATGTATCGTGGCAACCCACTTGGCTTGTCTACTAATTAAAATGCATGCAATAACCTGAAGTCTTTGTTGCCACATTCTAGCTGCTGTGGTTGTTGCTGTTGCCGTTGTTGCCACCGAGGCTGTTGCTGATGTTGCTTTTTTACTCATGTTGCCCCTAATGTTGTTGTTCTTGTTGTTGCCCCTGTGCGTAGAAGGACGCTGCAGCAACGTTAACAATTTGCACAAAGTGCTTAGACATGTGAGGATGAAAACTTTTCTTAAGGCTAACTTACGTTGCACTGGCAGAAAGGGTAAGGAAGTGAAGGGAAATCCCCACCTGGAGGGGAAAAGTATTGGGGCAGCTTAAGGGGGAGCTTCCGCCGTTTCTCCACATGCCTGTAATCCCATCTATTGATAGACTTGTTCTTGCCGAAAGCAAGTTACATTTTTAATTGTCTATCAAGGGGGGCTATTTATAAAACAAAAGATTCCGAAATGTCCTTGCTGCTGACTAATCTCAAGGGAGGACATGCTGGCGAACTAAGAGAGACATTGGCAGGGGTCAAAAGGCAGGAGAAGGAGGCTTCACCACACAACAGTGTGTGTGTATATGCATTTTTAATGAAATTTGCCGACGATTTGCGCTCGAAAGCAATTTTGAAGCCCAAAAACGGAGGCAGCAACAGTTGCAACTGCTGCACACACGCAAACACACACTCCTCTGTTGTTGCTGCTGCTGCAGGATCACGTGTGCGGCTTACGAAAAATTAATGCAAATTTGCATAATAAACAAACAAAATAAGCGGCGTGGATGGCAGAACTTGCAGGACCAGTGGCAGAATTGATTAAGTTGTTGGTGTGCAACTTGTGTGTTAATTTTGCTGGCACAATTTCTGGCTACATCATCTTCACCGTTACCTTCTGGGAATCGAAATTTACACCACCATGTACTAAAAAGTTTATTGTTTCACATGATGTTTATCAAATTGTGCATCTCCTTAAAGCCACTCTGTCAGCATTGACCTTCTGCATTTGTTTGCCCCCATATGCATGCAAATAAACAACACATATCTCACACACACACTCGCACACCCACACGGGCTAACACCGACATTGACGTCACCTTTGGTTGCCAGCGGGTTGGGTTAAATTGCCGGCACAGAATTGTAATCAGCTTCGAGCCCAATAAACTGCATGAGTGTAAATTTCCTGAATGTAATCGCCCCAAATCAAAATAGAGTACTCGATGGCCTTCGAGCACTTAGATGGCACAATCGGGTATTTGGGTGCTGGGCTGGGGATTTGGGTATCAATGGCAAGCGGCTGGCAAAGGTCTAAATTGGGCACGGTCAGAGTTCAACACGGGAAAAATAATTCCAATTAGGACGAAGAAGAGGCTTCTAGTTATTGTTAACATGTTCGTTTTTAAAGACAACAACAAACGACAAAAGACAAACAACATGTGGATAAAATAAATGCTGGCAGTTTGATTAGTTTGATCATGGAACCCATGGTTATTTACTGATTTAGTAGACAAATAGATACCAATTTTGTCGTTAACGAAAAATGACTGTATCAACGCACTAAGCGCCAATGGCTTATAAAACAAATAAAAATAAAATACTCAGGACCATGCAATAACTATACTGGGTAACAAATGGCAAGAAATATTGTTTGAGAGTTGAGAGCAAAGGTGCACTTGAAATTTTAAAGAAAATGGTATCTTAGTTTTACTAAGCGTTGAAGCCATTTCAGTGGTAAATTATAATTAGAAGCATGTAAAGTATATTTTTAAAGAAAATGTATGTTTTAAAACAAAAAGTCCAGACATCACATGAATTACCTGTTATATTTTAATTTGAAATCGCCCGCCGAAAAATAGCCCAATGCAACCCTGCAGTTCGGACTGTCTCGTTGTGCAGTGAACAAAATTTGTGTATCTAATCGGCGAGTAAGTAGTATAACAAGATTCGCGCAAATCCGGTTCCTTTGTTCAATATTGTACAGCTGTATTTTTAATTACCATGTAGTTATGCTAAATTAAACTTAAAAAATATTTTTTTAAAGTTGCAAACCGCGGAGGGGAAATTGCGCCACCAGTTTAAAGACAGAGAACCGAAAATAAACGAGAAGAATTGTGCCGAACTGGTTCGGGGCAATGCTGTGGGCGAACCAGTTCCGCCGCTCAAATGAGCGCTGCGACCAGGGCTGCGTTGCCACCCTCGAGCTGCACAAAGAAAAATAATTTACTCGCCAGCAGCGCATTGGCGTTTTTTCATTTTTTAAAGTGTACTTAAGAGTTGTTAATATTTTTCGCAGTGCTCGGCCCGACCACAACAAACAATAATAGCCGAATAATAGTGTGAGTGAAAATGCGGCGAGCTGCATTCGGCGCAAAACCAAGTGTTCCGCAGCACCCAAAGCCCAAATCGAACAACTCGAAATCGGAATCAGGCGAAGCCATCATTAGCGAGACATTTGTATTTGTCTGACCCCTCAGCGGTGTCTGAGAATCTCGGAGAGTCGTCGTGGAGAGGAAAGGAGAGAGCAGTAGCAGAAGCAGAAGCAGAACAGGGCCCACAATCCAAGTCCAAGGAAGCACCACTCGACCGAACCGATATGGGTAGGTGTATACGGTTTATACGGTGTATATGGTGTAAGCGGTGTACATGGTGTGTGGTGTATGTAGGTGTAGTTATGTAGTCGTGAGTCGCCCGATATCGAGGGGCCTAGGTGGAGCCCCATTTCGGGGTACAGCCGATGCAGGCCAACTAGGAGCATTTGTGCGTGATGCGCGCACTTCAAGTCGCTGTCCTGCCTACCTGCCCCGCCTGCCCCGTCACTCGCCCACCGACTCGGCGAACGCAACGCTACCAGGGCTGCAGCACAGCGTCGCTAATCGGTTGCGCCGTCGTTGTTATTGTTGTTGTTGGAGGTGGCGGTGGCGGTGGTGGTGGTTGCAAGAACGAATTGAATATCGAACAAAGGGCTCGGGCCGATAGTTGGTTTTACGGGAGACCAATGAATACATCCATTTTATAGCACTAAAGTATTTTATGACCGTTGCAAATCTAATTTTGTTTTCCTACAATGTATTTGCAAATGAAAATAATTAAATGTTCGATAAACGGTTTTTTATATTTAAAACCAAAAATTAAATGGAAAAATATGAATTAAAAACAGTATAAAAATGGTGTTCCACTTAAATTTATAAACCATAAATTTCAAGTTTACTTTTCGTTACGAAAATTACGAACATTTATCATCTATACGCGGTTAATAAAAATTTAAGCAACCAAAAGAATAGTTATAAAATTTGACCGATAGATTGCTCAGTAGGAATCAAAACAAAAAAGAAAAGAAAAAAGGAGGAGCTACTAGAACTGATTTGATTTTTGTACATATTATATTAAACCCTATAATAAAAATAAATACAATAATATTGCGACAAGTGCATTTAAGCCAGGACTGAAAGATCCAGCCCTGGTACAAGTAGGCGCATACAAACCCAAACCAACTGAAAATCAAATTATGCATTTGTTTACGTTCGGCCCTCCACTCTCTAATCTAGATTTGCCATTTGCAGAAACCGAGTCGATGGCTCCAAGCAGCAGTGCGGCGGCTGCAGCCACCAAACTCCTGGTGGAGATCACCACCGACGGAATACCCAAGCTGCACTGCCCGGTGTGCAACAAGGCGCTGGTCTCCCTGGCCGGATATGTGAAGCACGTGAAGAAGCACCAGCCGCCGGGCGGCTTCGAGTGCCGGCACTGTGATGCTCGGTTTTGTCACGAGGAGGAGCTGACCCAGCACGCAAAGGATGAGCACGGAGTCACCGGCCCGGTAGCTGGCCAGGAGCGAAAACCCTTCGTATGCGAGAAGTGCGGGGCGGAGTACAAGTACCAGGAGGCATACCGTCGCCACTGCAGGACCAAGTGTGGCGAGGAAAAGCTGCCGAGGGTAAGTAGATCCGAATGTGACACCTTTTGCATATTAATATTATTTTCCCTTTCTTAGGAGGAGTCCCGACCAATGGAGTGCAAGTGCTGCTACACCCGCTTTTCAAGCGCCTCCAATCTATCCAAGCATCGACGTAGTCGTCCCGACACTTGTGGTCAGCAGGAGTACGATTCACCCGGCTCATCTGATGTGATGCAGAATCGAAAGACCTTCCGCAAGAAGGGCAGAAAGAGGGACTCTGATGATGAAGATACCACCACCGAAGAATCGGAGGTTGATAGCGATGATGACATTCCTCTGGCCAGTCGACTGAAGACGAAGCTCAAGCAGGAGAGCCAGAACTCGGACTCAGGTGACGAGTGTCCCGACTTCGAACCCAACAACAGTGAAGACGATGCGGATGCATCCGGATTCCAGCTTCCTCCGCCGGCTATGGTCAAGGTGGAGGCCTTTGACGAAGAGGATTTCGAGTACCAGGACGCCAGCATGTATGTGAAGACCGAAAGCACCGATATATTTAGCAACGAAAAGGATAAGCTGCTGGATGTGCTGCTCAATGAGGGTGATGGTTTAAAGCCCTTCGAGAGCTTGAAGGTGGAACAGGGCGCTGGAATACTGGACGAGATTGCGGCCGTGCCGCTGGTGGAGGTTGCGGAAGAAGATGTCTTAGCCCTAAGGGGTCATCAAATGGAAAAACCTCCCGGACCACGAAAGCGCGGCAGACCGCCAAAGGAAAAGATACCTGTGGTTAAGAGAAAGTATCGCAAGCGAAACGCACCTAGATCGCCCTCGCCTGATGATTCATCGGGTACACCAAAACGCGTAGCTAAGATCAGCAAAAAGGAGCTAAAGGAGCGCCTTAAGATGATCAATAAGATGGAAAAATCCTGGAAGTGTCCTCACTGCGTAAAAATCTACCACATCCGCAAGCCGTACGAGAAGCATTTGCGCGATGATCACAAGTTAAATGAGGCGGAAATGAAAGAGATCTTCAAGGACGTGGATGTCCATGCTAAGCTGGACGAGGAGGTCTTCAAGTGTCCCATATGCAGCAAAATCTATTTGGTGGAGAAGCGCTTGGTCACCCACATGAAGGTGCATGGCGAAGATGGCAAGCTAACTTTCAAGTGCCCATGTTACTGCAACCTGTTCTTCGCCACCAAGGAACAGGCTACAGAGCATGCTCGGGCCCAGCACAAGGAACTGCTCTACTGCGAAAAATGCGACAAGTACATGACCGGCCATGACAGTCTCAAGAACCACGAACGCAATTTCCACTCGAAGAAGGAGCCGCGCAGCCAGCAGCGCAACCTCATATGCGACAAATGCGGCAAGAAGTTCACCGGACGCACCTCGCTCTCTGACCACGTTCGTTCTGACTGCGGCCGCCTACCACTCTACGGCTGCAGCGTTTGCGGCAAGCATTTGTCCACCGCTGGGTAAGAAGCGAACCCTGTACTTTAGATATTCAGCAATTGGTGTAACCACTATTTGTGTTTAAAAGATTTTTCAAGCAATTTTAATAACGTATCTTCCTTTCCGCAGTATTCTCAAGACGCACATGCTCCTTCACAAGGCAGACACTCCGTACCAGTGCGACAAGTGCGGCAAGACATTCAAGGTGAAGGCGCAATACAAGTCGCACTTGAAGACGCGGCACACGGACTACAAGCCGTACAAGTGCCACCTGTGTCCCAAGGAGTATCCGTACAGGGAGAGTCTGCTCACCCACATGACCGTGCACACAGGCATCAAGCGTTTCCTGTGCAATAACTGCGGCAAGCGATTCACTTGCATCTCCAACTTGCAGGCCCATCGCAAGGTGCACGCCGACACCTGCGGCCAGTTGCCTTTGAATGCCAAGGCCACGCAGTACATGGGCGTGCAGCGCGGAAAACTCTTGATGGGCGCCAAGCCAGAGGCGGGCATGGAGTACGAGGAGACCAAGACCTTGATCGCCCAGGATGTCATCGACAGGGACATGCCAATGGCCCAGGAGCTCAACTTCCCATCCGACGGCTCAGCGCCATTGGCCACTGTGCCCTTGAACTATGCCTCCACACACCTGGTGCCACACATCGTACTGCAGACCATGCAAGCCGAGGCCCGGCGATTGGAATAACTTCGGAACACATTCATTTAGCGATCCCACTCAATAAAGATGCTTTTGTAAACGGATGCGTATTCTACTGTACAACAAATGGGATGATAACTACATTATATCTACTTAATGACTGGATTAATTAAATAACATTGAAAATAAATAAGCTACATAAAATTGATGTAGATGAAGGTTTAACGCCATACGGACCTGTCAAAAAACATTTAAGAAAAATAAATTTCCTTATAAAAACAAGCTTTGAAATTTATTCATAGGGTCGGAAATTCTCTTTTCGTGAGTTAACAATTTGAAACGTTCATGTATCCTCACTTAAAGAGTACTTGGTAAACGTAATAAAAAAACCTGTATATTAATTTACCTTTTTCTTCTTTATACATATATTTTATATTGACTATGAGCCTTACAAACTATGTATTTTTCTTAATTCCACAACTCGCTAGTTCAGTCTGAAATAGGGCTGCTGGTATCGGCCTATGGGCATCCGATCCTTAGTCCTCAGTCGACGCACTGCCTCTCGTATGAATTTGGGCTGCAGGGCACCGGATTCCCCTTGGGCTTCCATCACGTCGAGGGCCTCCTCCACGACCTCGCCGACGAAGACCTTGGCAATGCCGGACATGGCTATCACAACATTCTGGGACACGGAACAGCCGGTGATAGTTTGCATCAGACGCTTGACGGCGGCCTTGGGAAAGGCTGACCGCCGATACATTTCGTAGCGATCTAGCTGTTCCTCCGTAAAGTTGGAAACGAGAACCCTGGAGAGGAATGAAACGGTTTTTAGAGGGATTGAGGGGGCATTTTTTTTTTTAAGCTCCCTTACTGCATTCGTTCGCGCTCCTCCTCCTCCAGTTCCTTTTTGGTCTTAAGCTTTTTGTGCGCCGGTTCGCCGGAGTCACCATCTCCGTCCGTGTTCTTGTTGTCGTTGTCCCCATCCGCATCTTTGCCATCACGATCCGCATCGTTTCCCTGATCCGAGGTCTCGCTGTCTTTCCGCTCGCCGGAGGACGTTTGGAAGAACTTCATGTCGACATCGTCGCCGTCGCTCAAGGAATTGCTTTTCTGCTGCGTGGGAAACAGGATTTCGTCCATTTGAATGGAATTTGGAAAGCACCGGAGTATTATAAACAAAATCAACCAGGGCTACAGTTGTACCATTTTCGTGTTTTGCAACACTTAAAAATTCCGTTTAGGTTGTATCGAGTAGCTGGAGATAATACGAAATATCGGGTAAAATATGTCAGTAATGATGTTCAATTTTAGAAAAGTTCCTGAGATGGCTTTGACTCTTTTATAGATAAGAAATTTATAAAAAAAAAATACTCATCAAACCATATTAAAAGATACAACAAATTTGCGAATTTCATATTAAAATTATCACAAAAGGACTGTCGCTGAAAGTTGCTGAAAACTCTGGTTCCGATAGTCCACCACCCGTTTTCCAGCACTGGTCTCTGACACCTCGTGTTTTTGTTCTTTTCTCCGCATCGCTATCGCCAGGCAAGAGTGCGCGCTACATTTTCGTTTATTTAATCGTTTAGCCAGCAACCAAGGCACTGCGAAATGTCCGCAACCGAGACCCTGAATGTTGAGGCGGCAACGCCCGAGATTGGCGAGGAGGTCAAGAAACAAAAGAAGCCCAAGCCGAACAACAAGAAACTTCGCCAAGGTGAGTGACCTCATGCGAGCAGTGCACTGCGGTAATTGCAATTGCACGACCCTCTCTGTCTCAACCACCCACCACCCACTGACATACCCACTCGCCCACAGAAGCGGCAGCCAAACTGGCCTCCGGAGAAGGCGTCGAGGAGGAGCTGACCACGAACGGAGATGCCAAACCGGCAACTCCGGCCGCTCAGCCGGCAAAGAAGAAGGGGAACAAGGGCAAGAAGAGCGGTCAGACTGATCCGCCCACCATACCCATTGCCAAGCTTTATCCGGACGGCAACTTCCCCGAGGGCGAGATCGTTGAGCACCCCACGCCCAAGGATCTGCCGGACGATCGCACCGCCAAGGACCGCTTCACATCGGAGGAGAAGCGTGCCTTGGACCGCATCAACACGGACATCTACCAGGAGTTGCGCCAGGCGGCTGAGGCCCATCGCCAGACGCGTCAGTATATGCAGCGCTACATAAAGCCGGGCATGACCATGATCCAAATCTGCGAGGAGCTGGAGAACACTGCTCGCCGCCTAATCGGGGAGAATGGCCTGGAGGCTGGTTTGGCCTTCCCGACTGGTTGCTCTCTTAACCATTGCGCCGCCCATTACACGCCCAATGCCGGTGACACTACCGTGCTGCAGTACGATGATGTGTGCAAAATTGATTTTGGCACCCACATCAAGGGGCGGATCATTGATTGCGCCTTCACGCTGACCTTCAACAACAAGTACGACAAGTTGTTGCAGGCCGTCAAGGAGGCCACTAACACGGGCATCAAGGAGGCGGGCATCGATGTGCGCCTATGCGACATCGGCGCCGCTATCCAGGAGGTCATGGAGTCATACGAAATAGAACTGGACGGCAAAACATATCCCATCAAGGCCATTCGCAACTTAAATGGACACTCCATCAGCCCGTACCGTAAGCTAAAACCTCTAATAAATATTTAACATTTTATGTTGTCATTTTGTTAATATTTCTTTTTTAAATTCATTGTGATATGTGCTGTGTGTGCCTAATGAAGTTTACAAATTTATTTCTCAGGCATTCATGCTGGAAAAACGGTGCCCATTGTGAAAGGTGGCGAGTCCACTCGCATGGAGGAGGATGAATTCTATGCCATTGAGACTTTCGGCTCGACAGGCCGCGGTCTTGTCCATGACGACATGGACTGCTCGCATTACATGAAGAACTTTGATCTGCCGTTTGTGCCGTTGCGCCTGCAGTCATCCAAGCAGCTGCTTGGCACCATCAACAAAAACTTCGGCACCCTGGCCTTCTGCAAGCGCTGGCTGGACCGCGCCGGTGCCACAAAGTACCAGATGGCTCTCAAGGATCTGTGCGACAAGGGCATTGTGGAGGCCTATCCGCCGTTGTGCGACATCAAGGGGTGCTACACAGCTCAGTACGAACACACCATTATGCTGCGACCCACCTGCAAAGAAATCGTTTCCCGAGGCGACGACTACTAGTGGGAAGAGGATCCGGGTAGTGAACGGAAAGAGTTTCGGCAATGTATTGCTTGCATTATATACGGTTTTTGATATAAGTTCATTCTATTGTTGATTTTCTGTGAGCATGCGCGAACCGAATTATAAATACAGTGTATTATGCTCAGAATATAAGCGGAGAGATTATTCTCAAAGTTATTTTTGTGTAGGCAGATTCCTTCGGATCTCGGGCATCCTTGGGATCTTAAGTTCACGCCAGTAAAGGGAATAGTGGTGATTCTTCGGCTCGTTATCTAAGAATGACCTGTATATGTAGACAAACCCTTTTCCTGTTAGATAGTACAGGATCTCTATGTAACTGACTATGCTGAAGCCGTACATGAGCGAGAGAATGCCTCCGAAACGATCTAAAGGGTCAATATTTTAATACACTACATATTAGTTATTCAATGTACTCACTTAGCAGAACCACCCAACTGCTCACCATTTGGGATTTTGTGGCTTGGGCGAAGCGCAGTTTAAAGAAAAGCTTTATGATGGCTAATGGTCGCTCGTTGGTCAATCCCTTTCTAAAATATTTAATATTCATTGTTTAGCAAAGTAATTGTGGCACAGCACTTACAGTAAACCGGTGAAGTAACCAGTGCTATTGTACGTGCGCCTCAAGGGAGCCACGTTGGTGGTGATACTCATGCTAACTCCGTTGCAGGTGGGCAAACAGTGCTCGCATTGCCTCTGGGCCAAGTTCTCCTCCTTGTTCTGCAGGTAGGCGAAGTCACTGTATCCATACCAAATGCCCTTCCATCTCATAAGGCAGGGAAGGTCGGGTAGCAAGCAGTATTCGAAATCCATGGAGCTGCCGATCAGCGGCGAAGATACACAGCCGCAGTGGTCGAGCATGCTCTTCGTGCGGCATACCAGAAGGCACTCGTCGAGGGAGTAGTATGATCTGTAAAACGGTTAGCCAGGTTAGCCTGGTATTTAATGGGTTAGCTGGGATACTTACTGGTTCAGCAAGCGCATGCCTTCTTCGGGATAGTAACAACGTCGTATATGTGGCGGGACTCCGCGAACCTCTTCGCCTGAGCTAAAAAACATCGGCTGGATGGGAATCTCCACAATGCTGTAGTGATCCACCAGTACCTCTCCCAAAGTCGTAGACTGAATGGTGGCGTAGTCCTCTTGTGGGAAAATTGTGAGCTGAGGATATCGGCAAAAAAAGGATAACTTAATGATTGGACTGAGTTAATCAGTCCTAAAAGACTGCTCAGCTCACTTGAAAGGCGTCATTGGAGTGGAAGGTGTTTGTGATATCTTCCTTCGGAGTGTCCTGCAGCACGAATTGGACGCTGTTCAAAATGGAATTCGATTCAAAGACAACCCTTGGAACAGCTCTCATTTCGGAGTCATGCTCAGCTCGCTTGGTGCTATTGAACATTAATGGTAGGTATTAATAATCATTATCACGTAGTATACACTCACAGAAATTTGGAATAGCTGGGCCGTCGATAGTTGAATATGCAGCACACATTCGACGATGTTACTCTTTTGAGGAAAAGCTGACTGGTGTTGACGGGTGCCCCAAAGACTATGCCCCTAATCACCAGATCCCCGCAACCGGGCGACAAGTCCCACAGTATATCGCGCACCGAGTAACCACCGCCGCCGTGGTAACCGACGAGCAGCCGGTGCAGTTGATCCAGCTCCAAGGCATTCCAACGTTCATGGTCGGATTCGCGGGGGTTGAGGTAGAACTGAGCCAGCACCAGCAGGCGATCGGCGATATCGTCCAGATCTAGGGCCACCGCCTGCAGAGAGGAGTTGCCCTGGTGATGGAATCTATTGGAGGCGTGGTGTGTTACAATCAGAAATTAGTATGCCTCACTGCACTCGGGTGGGGTATAAAAGGCTCGGAGCAAGACTAGCCCTGGACTAGTGCCAATATGAAGCTTCTGTCGGTTCTGTCGGTGCTGCTGTCGGTTCATGTTCTTACTTTTTGCTTGGCTGAACGCCGGAGGTTCGACAACTACAAGGTCTATAGAGTGAACCCAGCGAAGGCGAATCAACTGGAGGGACTGCGATCTTTGGAGGCCAATGGCGAAGATGCTGTGGTACTAAACAGTCTGCATCTTGGGCCCACGGATTTTCTAGTGGCTCCCGTCTTCGATCGAGCCTTTCGAAAGCTCGTCACAGATTTGGAACTCACTCCTGAACTCATCGACGCGAATGCCCAAACAAGTCTATCCCTGGACATAGAGCCCGTTGCGGATGCGAACCGACGAAGTGATGACTACTCTTGGAGTGAATACCACGAACTTAACGACACGCATCGGTGGATGCAGAATCTGGTGGGGAAGTATCCGGATATAGTCAGTGTATTCGTGGCGGGTCAGAGTTATGAGGGTCGTGAGCTACTGGGCCTGCGGATTAATCATAAGGACGGGAGAGCTGAGAAGCAATCAATATTCTTGGAGGCGGGAATGCATGCTAGGGAATGGATTGGCCCAGCCACAGCCACCTACTTTGCTAACGAGCTGCTGTCCAGCCAGCAGCAGGAGATCATGAGTCTAGCCAGATCCTATGTTTGGTACATACTGCCCCATGCCAATCCGGACGGATATGTCTACACCCACAAAACGGTAAGCATGTAAATTGGTGCTGAAACTCATGTCCAATGAGCTGTTTTCCAATTTCCCCTTAGAATCGCATGTGGCGCAAGACAAGGAGTCCGCAGGACAAGAACTGCGTTGGAACGGATCCCAATCGGAACTGGGGCTTCCACTGGCGCGAGGTGGGAGCCAGTTCTGATCCCTGCTCGGAGTCATATGCTGGACCCAAGGCGTTCTCCGAGCCCGAGGTTGAGGCACTTTCTCAGTACCTGAAAGCGCTGCCGGAACCCATGTTCATGTACCTCTCGCTGCACTCCTTCTCCCAGTTGTTGCTGTATCCCTATGGACACACATCCGCACTGCCGGGCAATCATCGGCAGTTGGAGCAGATCTTCAATGCAGCCGTCGGTGCAATGAAGCGGCGTTACGGAACTCGGTATACTGGAGGAAATGTCTACGATGCCATCTATCCGGCAGCTGGTTCCAGTATGGATTGGGCTTATGGGGTGCTCAGCGTTAAGTACTCCTTCACCTACGAGCTACGACCCTCCGGCTACAGTTTCTGGACAGGCTTCAGACTCCCCGCCTCACAAATAATACCCACGGGTCAGGAGACCACAGATTCGTTGGTGGAAATGATTAAGGCTGCTGCTCAAATCGAGGGTTACAAAATCGAGTAGTCGAGGGAGCTGGCGATGTATTGTTGATAAGATATGAATGAAAATATCTGTTGCTTCTGAAGGAACTAAACGAAACCCTGTTTTGATTAAAAAGATAACTTGAATAAGCTGATAAGATGAAAAGTCCAAATGCGCTTAGAAAATTTGCAGTAGGAAAATAATGATTTGATTAAATATTATCAATTTCGAAGTCTGAAGTGGTAGCTTGCTGAAGAGAATGACTTTTCAATAAGTGAATACAAACAAAAGCTAGAGATGAATGTAGTAATACTAAAAAGGAAAGTTATATATATAAAATAGTGGGATCAGCCATATTGAAGTTAAGTGTCACACGCATTTAAAATTTCATTACCAACCTGCGGGATTATGGGCTGATGAAATGTCAGTTCCTGAGGAGCTCCAGACGTCACGGGCCGAGAGCAGGTCGGGAATTATAGTGATTTAAAAGGCGCAGCCGTTAAGACAGCGATAATGTTGTACACCGATTACTGCAATATTTACTGCCCAAGCAATTGTCAAAGGCAGTCGCGGACCGTAAATTAGGTTCAGTTAGTGAGTTGTGGAAGCTCTTATCGGAGGGCTATAAAAGGAAGTGGTTCACCCGGTCTTGGCTCAAACCAACGACAACCATGTCGCTGACTAAGTGCCTTCTATTCGCCCTCCTGGCCATCGTGGCCACCGCATCCGTGAGCGCCGAACGTGTTCGCTATGACAACTACCGCATGTACAAGGTGAACTCGGAGAACGCCAAGCAACTGGCGGTGCTAAAGGACCTGGAGGGATCCAGCGACTCAATCATGTTCCTGGATGGAGTCCATATCGTGGGTGCTGATGTCCAGATCGTGGTGGCTCCCCACAAGGTGCCCGACTTCCTGGAGATCATGGGCAGGTCGGAAATCAAGTACGAGCTGCAGTCGCGCGATCTGCAGAAGTCTCTGGACGAGATCGACGAGAAGGTCGCCATCAAGGGACGTGCCACTGGCTACAACTGGGCCCAGTACTACGAACTCGATGATACCTATTCCTGGCTCCAGACCCTGGCTCAGCGGAATCCCGGAGTGATCACCCTCATTGAGGGCGGCAAGACCTACCAGGGACGCTCCATCCTCGGCGTTAAGATCACCAGGGGTGGTGCCACCACCAACGGCAAGGCCAAGCCCGGCATCTTCCTGGAGGCCGGTATCCATGCCCGCGAGTGGATTGCTCCTGCTGCCGCCACCTATATCATCAACCAACTGCTGACCTCCCAGGAGAAGTCCATCAAGGAATTGGCCGAGAGCTACACCTGGTACGTCCTGCCCCATGCCAATCCCGATGGCTATGTGTACACCCATACCACGGATCGTATGTGGCGCAAAACCCGCACTCCCTACGGCAGCTGCTTTGGTGCCGATCCCAACAGGAACTGGGGCTTCCACTGGAACGAGGTGGGTGCCAGCAGCAATGCCTGCTCCGATACCTACGCCGGACCTTCCGCTTTCTCCGAGATCGAGACTCTGTCAATGTCGAAGTTCATCGAAGGCCTAAAGGGCAAGGTCCAGCTGTACATCTCCCTGCACGCCTACTCCCAGTACCTGCTGTATCCCTATGGACACACCTCCGAACTGCCCGACAATGTGGCTGACTTTGAGAAGGTCTTTGACGTCTCCATTGCCGCCGTGAACAAGCGATACGGAACCAAGTACACTGGAGGCAACATTTACGATGCCATCTACCCGGCGGCTGGTGCTAGTGTGGACTGGGCCTACGGAACCCAGGGTGTGCGCATGTCCTTCTGCTATGAACTGCGTCCCTCGTCGAACTCCTTGCTAACCGGATTCAAGCTCCCCGCCGAGCAGATCGTTCCCGCCAGCGAGGAGCTGCTTGACTCCATCGTGGCCATGGCCACCGAGATCAAGAGCCTGGGCTACTTCAACTAAGCGACACTAATAAAGTACTCACAGCTTTTCGGCATAACCACGAAGCAGTCGTCCACTGATTTTGTTGGAGGTGCACACCCCCACCGCCGGAAAGGGGCTGTTGGCCACATGCACCAGGTCGGGGTCCATGTGGATCTCAGTGGGCTGCACCAGGTACTCCAGGATGAGGTCAGCGATCACTATGTGGGTGTAAATCATAATGGCGGTGAGCAGAGCCAGCCAGGCAGCTCTGCAAATGGCAGATGGGTAGCTCCAGTTAAAACTATAAGGCCAACTGGTTTACAGAATAGGAGCAGTAGGAATGTGACCAATGAGTTCTTGCTCAATAAGAAGATACATTCCATAAGGAGATGTCCATCGCATAGAAATAATATACACATGGGCTTAGTTTGTTTAGTTTATCTCATTCTACGATGGTGTTTTCGAATGCACAGATATACAGAGTAATCGGAACTCAAAGCTCATTTACTTGACCACTTCACTGGGGCTCTGGGCCTTTTAACTCACTTGGCATATCGGACGGGTGAGTGATAGAGGAACGGATGCAGGCCATTGATGTAACTCTGGCGCAGAAACTCGCGGAACAGGCGCCGATAGTGGGACTCCTCCACTCGAGCCATTGTGTTTGAGGAGTGCTCGAGTTCAGACCATTTATAGTGCAGCTACTGCTCATCAATCAGAGCTCTAATGAAAGTGTGTCAAGTGGAGTGCAATGGGTCTAGTCCCTGTTGATGTAGTTGAAAACTGGCCGGAAGGTGAGGAAGTACACGAACTCGAAGGCCGTCACTATGCTGAATCCCATAATTAGTCCCAGCAAGCCGCCGAATGAAGCTGTCAGAGAAAGTAGGCTAATCATATTCCAGCTTTTATTGAATATATGCTAGCGTACCCAGGGCGGACAGCCAGTTCTGAAATATGTCCGTTCGATATCTGGTGCTCATCAGGTCGCTGAAAAACACGTGGAGTAGTATCCTGTCTGTGGCATTGCTGTCGGGAAAACGCGATTCATGGAATAATAAATAACAGGATTAGATACATCGGTTGAGGTGCAGGTCATAAGGTTATAAGGCATAGTACTTGAACGATGGTCGGTTGGCAAAGTAGCTCATGTCCAGGCGGCCCGTAGTGCTCTCGGAAACATAATGGTTCGACTGGCAGTCCGGCAGACATCCACAGGGAAAGCTATCCGTCTCTCGGACAATTGAGAGCGAGAAATTCAGATTGGCCAGGGCGTGGGAAAAGATTCCTGAACATCCAACATATCACTATGGTTATCACCAGCAAATCAATCGAAATTTCCACCCACTTTTGCTTGCGATTATGCAGTTGGTCAGCAACACACCGCACACCTTGTAGCTGCCGTTGTTGTAAACGTACGGTGGAAGGCAACCACAAAGGTCCACTGCCATCCGCACCCGGCACTCGAACATGCAGTTGATGAAGGAGTAGCGCCTGAGGCCATGCATGGTCCGCTCGCCTCCAAAGAGGCAGTTCCTCAGGGACAGATCCATGCGGCGAATATCGTTGGTGGCGTAGGTGGACTCCGGGTTTATTCTCACAAAGCTCTCCCTCGTGGTGGTGACCACCTTCGTCTCCGAGTTCTCATCCGGAAAGTTATAGGCGTCGTGGAGGAGCAGGCGGAAGCCATAGCCACTGAAGAAGGTTCCATAGTAGTCCGATATCATGGGGTTAAGCAGGACCGACAGACCCGTCGGATAGCCGCATCCCGTAACGCGATATGGCCGCTTTGGAACCTGGTAGGCAATTTTTCTGCGCAACCAAAGGTGTTGCTCTCAGTCACTTCCATAACAGCTCAATTATTCAAACTTACTCCGGAAAATTGTTGCTGATGCCGCCGAAGTAGTTGAAGGTGCAGCACTGCCCCTCCATGGTATCTATGCGTTGGAAGAGGCTGTCGCAGCGCGTATTGATGCCCTTCCAAATGCAGCTGGAGATCATATCGATGCAGTCCGGCGACAGTTGCTGGGTGAGCCTTGTGAGCGTGAGGTTGTTGAGGTTCAGAATCCGATCGTAGATCTGCAGCGAATCATTGCTAATCATGGTATCCACGGGCAAAAGTGTCAGATTGAAGAGGTTGTGCAGCTCGGATCTGTTGACTCCGACTGGAACTTTCCTGCAAGGGATTCGCAAGCGGATTGCTCAATTATTACCAAGTAGGTAAAAGTGAACTCACATTTGGTCCAGCAAGCTAAGTGCCTTGGTCTTCGATATCTTATTGAAGTTGCATATGGTGACGGCCGGAAACGGAATGTTCCAGGTGGGAAAGTGCGAGCTTTCGATGACGGTCACCGTTGGGGTTTCCTGGCTCCAGTACCAGGACACCACCACCAGCACAATGGAGGTGATGATGGCCAGGATGACAACCAGCAGCCAGAACCAACGCTCGTGGCGACTGATGTCCTGCCGGGTGATATAATTGAATCCGTGGAGCGAAGTGGTCTGGCAGTAGTTGCGCATGTTCTCGGTGAACCATTCTCCGATTTGGCGAAAACCATGCTGGGGACGGATGGGATTGTGTGAATGGTGCTGGATGGGATGACTGCGACTGTGACTGGCGGCGGTGGCCATCTGTTGCGCCTGCACTTGGTGCAAGTCGAAGATGCGCCGCTTCTTGAACGCCATCTCTTCAGGCTGAGCTCCTTAGTTCAACTGCGACTTGGGCGACGTCAAGGTAATTAGGACAGCTCCTAATTAGCCGGCCCTAATGACCTCGCCTCCGTGTTGCCCACCCTCTGATTCCTACGTCGTCGCCAGAGTATCTGTTTCCTGGTCAGCCAGTTGCATGTGGGTCGCACACACGAAAAGAAAATCAGCTCGAAGACCGAAACGAAACTGCAGCCCATAAATAGTCCGGTTATACCGCCAAAGGTTCCTGCCCACAAAATGGGTTGCTCTATGAGTGACACTTTGAGGAGCCACCTTGTAGCTCATTAGTAGACTTGCCTATGAATGTCAGCCAGTTTTCGTACACGTCCAGGAGCAGCTCCTCCGCAGTTGATGAGTCGTAGTAGACACGGACACGGACCTCATTTGTGCGCCCTTGATTGCTGGAGTATTAATTACAAATGCTGCTTTTAAATAGCAATGTCAATCGATACAAGTTTTTGAAAAGTAAAAAGTTAACTAATGATTAATGGTTTAATACAATTGTTACCTTATCCGACTGGTAATATCTCTACCTCATGCTTATTATCCCCATTTCGATGTAAAACATTGCTTAAATGTTGTGTTATATCTTAAAATCCTAATAATAACACCATATGGATTATTTCCCATTAATGGCTAATCAGTTTTACGCTGTACATGCAAACAAACAAATTAGGATTACCTTGTGCTAACAATACTATTATTAGTCATTCCCTTTATAAGTCGTATATCACTTTGGAATTCATAGCGATTGAATTCACATGGCGGAAGGCAATCGCAATTCTTTTGTTCCCCGCTGCTGATCTCATCATGATCTGTAAACACCGAGATATCGTTATAGTTACGCAAATATTTACTGTTCTTACCAAAATCTATTACACACTGCATTTGCTGAATATCGCAAATGGGCCAGCTTTTCCCAAGAGGTGATTTTGGAGGCGCACAGCCACATGATTCTAATATATTTTCGCTGCGACATTCAGCCAGACAGTTTATTTGGTTGTACACATCAGAAGACATTAGACGGCGCTCTGTTGGAAAATAGCAGCCTCTTTTCTGCAGAGATAAGCCCTCCAGATTCCTCGAGAATCGATTGACATATGGTCTGAGCATGATGTGGGCCTCTGATCCGCTTGGCACTAACAGCCTTGGAGTTGCTCCATCGGGCATTTCGTGGGATTCGTGTATGAGCACCTCAAAGCCAGCTGATTGCGAACTTTGCAGGTCCGTATCACTGGATCTTAGAACAAAACTAAATCCCAAATGGGAGCTGAAGAGCTGCTGGTTGTAGCCAAAAGTGCAGCACAGTCTTTGGTCAAGAGTCCAAATGGGCTGCAGTTCATCCAGGCAGTTAACCATTCGAGTGTCCCACTGACAGACTTTAACTAGCGGACAGATCGGTAATGCCGCATCCTCCAGAAGTTCCAACCAACTTGCATTTCTTCGGGTTACTTGTTCCATTACAGAAGCGCTCATCCATTCCCTATTCTGTAACCCTTGCGTAAAGATTGTGTTGAATGCGCAGATGGTGACTGCAGGAAAAGGCACTTTCGCCGTGGGCTTCATCATGGTGTCTATGAAGCGGATTGTGGGCGTTTCCTTCGACATGGAAAGCGACATGACCACTAGGATAAGTGAAAGCAGCACCGCATTGCAAATGAGTAGCCACCACAGAATCCTTTGCCAAGTTTTCGCTCCCACAAAAATGTGAAAGCCATGTATGCTGGCCATCTCGCAGTAGATCTCAAATCCTGTCTTCCGCTTACATAGGCCGTCATCATTGCGGGCACGCAGGAATCCAAGGAACTTGGGCAGTGGGAGCTGCTCAAATCGTTTCGACGCACTACTATACCACCTGAGAATCTTTAATCGTTTTAGGTTCCTGTACAGAAAAGTGGTTCTTCCATTTGGCTTCTCGAACCGCTGAAGAGGCTGACATTTGTTTGGCTGCTTGGGCCTCAAGTAGCTCTCGAAGTTAACTAGGTAAAAGCGAGTTGGTGAATCCGCTCCTGGAGCATCAGACATGACCACTTGGAATTGTGAAAGTAATCAGCAAGGAAACTATGTTGACTAGTCTATTTATATGAAGTCTAGCAGCCATTAGCTGTCTGGGCTACATCTTCTTATCAGTTCGTATCACGCCTTTAATCTGTTCGCACCCCATCAGCCTTATCATAATTAATAATTATTAGCGCCTTAAATTACTAAAGGTCATTGGAAGTGGGCGGAGGCCTTTCACCTCGATACTCGTGTGTACTTGGACGTAATCGAGGCAGTGCATCAATATCAATTGTTCGGCTACCTTCACACCCCCAACTGAAAAAACAATTATCCACATATTTATTTGTCTATGCGCAACTTGCTACTGAACTACACAGCCGATAAGCTCGGCAAATTTGAATAGGAAATTGTTTGCGGCCAATATATTATTATGTGAACTTCCTACTCGCTCCGCCCCATTATTGTTATTGTTTTTCAGTGTGCATTGGCTTGCTAATGAGTGTATTATTATTTACCCACCCACCGCCCACAATTACGGTGTTCAAATATTCTGCTCGTGTCACCTGGGCGAATTTCAAGTGTCATTGTGGCTCCAATTTCAAAATGGGACACTTGCCTCGGTTCGGCTTCTAAATATGTATCAAGTTTAAGGGTTTTCCCAACTCTATAATCGTACTTCTGTCAGCTGATTGGCAATCTGCTTGATTTCGATTTCCACGATACGTTATCCGTAATCGTGGAACATTTAAGTCATAAATGTGTCAGATGGAAAGCTATCTAAAATGGCGATAAGCCCATTCAGATTTCAGGATCCTGGTTTGTGCTCGTCGAAAGTTCAGAAAGTACACGGTTGGTATTATAAAGACGGGTGGGTACGCAATTGAAACCATTATTAAAAATAGGAAGTACATAAATACAAGGGTTAGTAGTTACCTTTTTATTTCAACCTAAAGTCCTACTTTACTAGGATGTTTGTTTTTACACGAGTTCTACATATAACACAGACATTTTAAACATATGTGCCACATACTTTTGGGGATTCTAGGGATATGAAGACATAAGATTGACATAGGATCAACTCGCATTATAAGCACCTAATAAACAGCATATAATAGTTGAAATTTCCAACCCAAAACGCTGAGTAAGCGGATGATAAATATTATGCCTGCAATTATTTACGGGCAAATAGGGAAAAATATTTGCATTCATTGGAAATGGGAGAGCAATAAATTTTACCCAGAATTGGGGCTCGCATGGTTTTAATTATCTGCGGCTCGGCGTTTGTTTTGGCTTTTGCCCGTTTCAATCCAAGGTTGCCAAATCTCTCTAACGATATTCCGCCGGCATATCATGCCTCATTTGCATGCCACGTGCCCGGCAGGCGATGTCTCCCGATGTCTGACAGTATATTACTCAATTATGGTTCCGATGTCGGGACCTGATAAGCCACCCGACGGAATTCAGCGCAATCACTTGCTGGGCTTAAACGCTCCGGGACAGATGCACTCGCCTCCAGCTCGGCAGCTGGGAGATCTGGCCCGGGTTATTTTGGTGCATATACCCGTATATATATATATATATCATTCCGAGCGATTTGCGTCACGCAACGGTAAAGACAAGTGTGACTGCAACTGTATCTGCGGTTTGGATGCACACCTCCCGTATCTGAATCCGCATCCCCGAATCCATTTTGACCGACTGACGTGGCCCTGAAAGAAGCGGTACGGGCTATTTCGGGTTCCGCCGAGGAGCGGAGTCATCAATCCAACGGATCAACCATTCATCCGTCGGATTCTTGTTTCCAGGCACGGCCCCCCGGCGAGCTGATTGTCTTGTCTTGGGCCGTATTTATTATCATCTGGCGGTGATTTATGTGGTCGTTAGCTTCGACTTTTTTCTTAGCAAAACTAGAGCGAGGCTAATCTCTTGCAATTGACGCAAATTGATTTTGCACTCGAAATCGAATTGGAAATCGAACGTTCTGCCTTGGCTTCGATTCATGTTTATTCGCACTTTCGATGAGCTGTTCCGAAAAAGGAAGGAACGTGCCGGGTTCTACGATGCAGAAAACGTGTTCGCCTCAAAGTCACAATTCCCAGGGAGGTCACTGGGTCCTCACCGACTGGCCTGACTAAGTAGATGGCATCTAACTTTTGGGCAGGCCATTCACAAGCCATGTGCTCGACATGATACTCGTGCATCAACTATTGTTCAATTCATGTGCTAGCCACACTTTCGCAAAATGAACAATAAAACGCTCAATTAATGGAAATGACATAATGCGATGGAAAAGAAAGCCTACACAGTTCAAGATCTGTATTAATTGCGAATTCAAACACGATCGACTGGCTAAAACACAAGGCAGCCGTTGCTCACTGCTTTCCTCATCGATTCGAATCGCTTGGCTCGAATCAATCAAATTGTTTACACGCCCATAAACAATTATTCTTTTGTTTGTTTGCGGTTGCTCCTGGGCCGCCCTGTTGGTCAGGTTCTAAATTTATTTTCGCCAGCAATTGCTTTCTTTCTTTCTTTTTTAGCCACCGCCTGGCATTTTATTTTGTGGGCTCTGATCCCAGATTATCAGGGTTGCAGCAGCTTATCAGTGGCTCGCGCCACTCACATGTTGCGGCACTATTTTTAGACACTGTTTGCGAAAAATCATTGACAAAACAAATGACACTCAGCACAAATTAGCAGTTTAATCGCCCCCAGAGGAATATTATGTCTCGGGGCAACACAAAGTGAACTGAAGTCGGAAATGGGGGCTCTTGGGATTCAAAAGCTGTTGCCAAGCCAGGATATTTCAATTTAGTTGGAGTGGTTCCCATAAAAATACCACTTCGTTTGGGGGGCTTCCATTCAAATGAAATTCCCAATAGGCAGCAGAATTTTCGGAAGAAATTATGACAAGCCTTTGTTTTGTGAAGTATTCCATTGTTCGGGGAAAACCTTTCTTGCATCTGTGGTTCACAATAATTCTTATCAGCCGCTGAGTTCATCTTAGCGATTTGGTGACGTTTGTCGGTCAGGCCATTTCCTATTATCAGCACTCAAATCGAGGTTCGAATTACGAGGAAAATTTTCAAACATTTTGATGACTGTCATTTCCTGTCGGGATCTATAGTCTACATTGTTTATAAGAGCTCATTCTATGCAAATGTTGGCTTTTTACCGACAACGTAATTAAGATATATTCCACACGTAATCAACAACGTAATAAATTACGTTTATTTATGCTCCACTTTGAGATCAAAACGTTTGACTGCCTAAAAGTTCTGTATTATATTGGTTATTTGGTACTTTTCCAACAATTGGCCTATTGGTATCTTTACCATTATTTTTAGACGGGGAAACCGCATATTGTACAACTGGGAATAACTGCAGCTGGTTAAACACTCAGCTTACACGTTTTTTTCGATATTTTTCGAAAGTATATTCAAACAAATATAGAATGGGAAACGCTCGAAGCATATGAAACATTCTGCAAAGATATCGACGTATGGTTAACACACACTTCACTTTTGAGCACCGATACTTTGAAGGACACTTCAGAAACTTAAATATCGAGTTCGAAACTTTGAAAATAAAGAAAAGCAAGTTCGTTGCTCTCGCAAAGAATTAAAATCTGTAGACGTGTTGATTACCAAATCAAATTATTTGAAATTCCCAAGGCGATACTCGGAAATACAGGTAGGTGAGCGTGATTGATCTTGAGAAATCCTTACCAGCTAGCTACCCAGCAAACGTAACTCACAGCTGGACATTTCTAATTTGAAATTTATTTTTAATTTCCCAGCTGAGCAGTTTAATTGTTTGAGCGGCGCCAAGCTGGCGTCTGTGTTTCCCTCTAGCCGCGCACACCTATAGAAATATAGAAAATATAATACTATATGCCCAGATCGGCGACTACCAGTGCAAACACACCCACATGGAGAACATGTTAATGAGGAACGCTTTTTTCGGCGCTTCGCTGGTTTCGTTGGCTGGGCTTAATACTGTGACGTCAGGAAAGTCATTGAGCTATAATTTAATAGCCAGCGACTGCTACGTCTGGCCAAAAAGAACAAAAAGTGGTAACAAAAAATAAACAGAAAAATACAGAAGATACAAAAAAGCAAACAACAAAACTATAGCAAACATTCTGTGGAGTGCGAGTATGATTGAAATCCAAACACGAGGAAGAGAAGTCAGCGGAGCTACCTGAGCGCAATATTAAGTTACACTTATGTATGACGAACGATTCCGCTGTCGAATCCGATTCCGATTCCGAATCCGAATCCGATGCCGCATCTGAATCTGAATCTGAATTCGAATCCGATTCTGAGCTGAGCCCGTCCAGTCAGCTACGATAAAGTCGCGAGATTAAAAAAGTCAAGTGACAAGACAACCAAGTGCGTCAATCGCCGGGGCAAAATGCGAAACAACACACACTGGGTGACGGAGTACAAAAGTCCGTCTGCATTGGTGGCATCTTGGTTTTCCTTCCCTTCCCTTTTTTTTTTGTTCCTGGGTTGGCCTGGACTGGGAGCATCTGCCATCTGGATGGGTTCTTTGTCTGCCGCTCTTGTCCACTGGTGCGTGCAGATGCCCATCCGCATCCCTTCACCTCCAGTGTCGCCTTAGTCGTCGGATCCCCGATCGTGACAAAGAAAATTCACGCAAATGTGGCGTTTGACGTCAGGCCTACGATCTTGATCAGGGTCTGGCTGGGTTTTCCAGATGGACTGCCTTTAAGTTGGGAACTCTGAGATTATTCACTCAAGTGGGAAGTGCCGTTTGAATCGAGATGCGAGGCACTTAATTGAAGTGCAGCCCCGGCAATTCAATGCAGTGTGGCGAGGGGCTGAAATTCCAAAGGGGTGTCGAATAACCTTGGTGTTCTGCCCAGTATTATGATCTTCCACTTTGGTTCGATTAGTTACGCTTCATTTATGATAAAATCAAGCTAAGCTGAAAATTGCGTTTTCTACGATTAACTGGATTACCACGATTCGATTGAGTTCCACCTAAATGTAGCTTCCCAAAGGATTATTACTTGTTGTTCTCGTTCTTGTTGTGCAGCGTTGTTCGTCACGGACTTTCCTAGCTTTTATCGATCACTATAATTGCCAAGTGCGGTCAGCCAGTCTCGAATTAGTTTTAATCACTTCTGTGTGTAGCGAGACTGGTGTTCTTGGGAAATGGCTCCTGGCCGGTTGATCACGTGCCCGGGAAACTATTGTTACTCATACGCCACGTTGCCGCCTGCAGACGAAAAGTTCAATGCATTTCGAGGCAGTTTCCCAAGCAATTAGCATATGATGGCTTTGCATTACAATGACGAGGCCTGCGACAACTGACGACTGCTGTCCGTCCACTGACGCAGTTGCCATGTGAGCCGCAGGAGGAGGACTCCAGGGGGCAGAAGGGGCAGAAATGCAACTCGAACTCGGGGTTTGTATGTCACTCAGACCCAGACTGACGCACGCATCTCGATGGGATTGGAACTGGAACTGGGACTGGTGTTGGGTATAGGGTGTTGGGCATTGGATCTGTACCGAAATCCCCAATAAATATGCGCATATGCCACGGCGTTGGCCATGAACTCAATGGTTCTGCGCAAAATTGGCGCAGATTTCGACGACAGTTTGCATAATCCCCGATCCCGAGGCATTGCGCAGTTGGTCGGATTTGCATTGCAGATGGGTCCGGGAATTTCGCCAAGTTCAACAACAGCTCAGATAAAAGAAGTTGAGGCGGTTCAATGTCTGACCTTAGATGGCGCCATCTGTCTGCTTCTTGGGGTCCAAGATCGCTCTTTTGCGCACCGCAAAAGCACAAATCTAATGTTGTTTTCTTTCTAGGATCCTACGATCTCCGCCAGCTCTAATGTATTCGCTTTCGGTTGTTTTCCCTTTCTTTGCCATGTGAAATTCTTAGTAAACAATAGTTGTGATCGCACTTCGACGAGCCCTCTGGATTAGAAATGTGTCGGAATGACGATCGAGGCATTTGGAATTCCTTGTTTACTATATTGTTCACTATGGATTAATCTCAAAATAGGCAAAATCATCATGACATTTACATACATTCAATCGAATTTGTTCCAAGTGACGAAGGTAGGGTAGGTTTGGGTTTTTACCAATCTTTAGTAATTTGCTTACTAGAATGATAGAATAAGGTAGAAATAAACAGCTGTTGTATTACTACATTAACTTGATAGCTTATTATATAAATTACTCAATTACTCAACAGTATTATTAAAAATAAATTCAATTTAAAATAGTTACTATCAATAGCTTCATAGGCATTGATCTATTCTCAAATGAATTCTGCAAGAGGGCACGTGGAGTCATTTATTATTTTATTTTAAGTCATTTATTATTTTAATGCGAATATAAATAATGCTTTGCGATCTTGTTATAATTGCGCTGTGATTAACGCTATATATATTTGTGCATTAAGATATAATCCCTCCTACTTTTCTAAATCGCTCCCAGCAGCTCATTCCCGAGATATCCAGAAGACTAATTCGATCAACTTCGGCGAGTGTAGCCCCACCCTCTCTGGACTCTCTCCACCGCTCGCGATCAGTGCTCCCCAGAGAGGATGCCCCACGTAACTCTCCGGCACTCCAGCTCCCAGAGAGGGCTTCGTGAAACTGCCGAGAGCCGAACGAGCGGCGACAATTGCCGATGCGATGATCACAAAACTGGCTGCCATATGGCGAAACCAGTTAGTCGCCATCCAGAGCAGCCAGACCACGTAACGCCACGTTTCTCGCCGGATCCACCGCCGACCGATTCAATTCGATTTGACGCGATCGTCAGTGCTATATATACAGTTCCCAACGGAGCGAGCGATAAAGATAAATGTGCAAAAACAAAGCGCACTTAGATAAAGATAGCGAAGTTCCCATGTGGAAGGCGGCACAGTGCAAGTGAAGTGAAACGAGAACGCAGTTTTGAATAGGAAATACGAAGTACTCACATACATATATTGAGAATCCGAGACTTGGAGTCAGAATGCAAATGTGGCGAGCATAAAATCGCAAACCGTGCAAATCTACAATATATTGTATAGTCGAATCCAAGTGATTCCAGCCAAGTGAAACCCGGTGCGCAACCGAACACAAACCGAATGACTATGACTTCTACGGTGCTCCAACGGCCCATTCAAGCCAAGCCAGAGAAGAAGGCCTCCTCCAAGTCGACCAGCTCCTCGAGAAGTCGCTCCACGATGGCCTGGTCCAATGAGAAGCTGCGCTTCTCCTGCATCGACAACATCGGACTCAAGCAGCTATGGAAGCTGATTGCCCTGGACACGAGTGCTCCCTCCAAGCAGCGCAGCGCCATGATGTTGGAAGTGGAGCAACAGCAGCAGCAGCAGCAATCGAACAACAATAACGAGGTAAGTAGCCGAAAGAAAAGAAAGCTTGTAAGCGATTGTGACGTCAATGAGGATTGGGGCAACGCATCCACATCCGCGTAGAAAGCCAACTTGCAGAGAAAGTGACCAAAAAAAAAAAAAATAAATACAAGTAAGACAGTGGTAAACTCCGACTCCGGGTCGTGAATGACGTCTGTTTGTTGTGGACTGTGGACACATTGTTGAAACATCTGTGGGTCCCACCCAGTCACCACTCACCACCCCAAATATGCGAATGGCAAACAGAGTGTGGGAGATCGCAGGGCGGCCTGGAATTCCAATAATCCACGTAACGCCAATTTGCATACTACTACTACGAGTCTGCGCTAATTAAAGCCTCAAATGAGGCCCCTGAGCGTAACTCAGCCGGACACGGCCAGTTATGATTACACATCACCAGCAGATTGAGATGTGGACACTTGGCTTGTCCGCCCGTGGACAATCGAATCGATTCATTTCGATTCCGTTTCATTAAAGACAATTGACAAAGACGTTGACAAAGACGAGAGATTCATCTTCCCCTTTTCAGACAGTCAAGTCCTTATTTTACTCAGTGATTGTTGCTTTCAGGGGTTTATTGACATCTTTTTTCTCAGTGTGATCACTGCGAGCACTCTTGATCGTTCCAAGTGTCAAGTGCAGCGGCCCACACTCTTAACGGCCTCAGCTATTATCGGTTTATTTCGGCCATTTTCATTTTGAGCTGCTCTAAGATCAAGGCTTGCGAGCGGAGCGAAGGTCATTAGAGGCACGGATATCGGGCTTGGGGCTACTAATCTAGTTTCTGAATATAAAACCACGGTTATTCCCCGAACCCGTCGTCATCTTAATTATGTTGCCCATTTCATTGACTCGAATTCGCGCTGAATCCCGAACTTTCGCACAGTGATTCACGTGGATTTTCGTGTAAGCGGTGATGAGTGCAGCAAAGGGAACAAGACGTTATTCATATTGACGCATTTCGAATCCGGTTCTCCTCCGACTAACGGTTACTCATGACCAACCTGCCAGCCACTAGAACTGCGACTTAGAATGATGGTGGTGCTCAAAGAGCGTAAGGTCCCGGTTCTCGGATAGATTTTGGCCCTGGGACACGGATCTCTAACCCTCTGCTGATGGGTTGTTAATTTTTTTAAGCCAACTGGTTTGAACCCCCTTTAGCCACATCTGCCACCCTTCCCTTTATCAGAGGAGCCCCTGGTCCCCTCTTCGTCGCATTGACGTCAATGCAAATAAACCTCCCGACGGACCGAGACTATCGATATATCAAAGAAACCCCCCCTGACGGTCTGGGCCAATTTCTTGGCTACGTCTCGGTATTGTATTATAATGTCAGGGTTGTGTTCTAGAAAACCTGCGAAGGCTGCTGCACCTGAGTCACGCCCACCGAGTTGGGGATCCTGAAAAACAGGCTTCATGTTGCATGCTGCAGGTTCAGGGTCAAAAGCAACCAGCCCTCTTCGGGGTTAGGATGGACCCGAACCTAGGGTGAACCCCTACAAGACCAAGAACCTTAAATTAAGACAGTTAAAAAAAAAAAAATTAATTCGGCAGGTTGATTAACAGCTCAGCCAAAGCGCCCTGACGTCACGCGCATAAATTTATTTGAGCAAATTTTTATTTTTCCATTTGCCTCTTTGGTGCTTTAATTTTTTCGTTGCTATTTTGTTTCTGTCGGTTAACACGTTCGTCCGGCGGCTATAGAAAATGTTAAGTAGTCATAAATAAACACTACTAAACTGTGGGCTTAGTTAAACGCCGGAATATAGAAAAAAAAAAAACAGTCTAAAAATAACGATGTGGCTGAAATCGCTCAGATCCTCAGAGCTCGATCTCGAATTTGAACTCAAATGAATGCGAATCGAATCGAGTCGCTCAAGCGAAAAGTGCTGTAACTTTTTTTTGTTAGCCGATGTCAGAGTTGAAGTTAATTATTGTTTTGTTCACATTGCGGTTTTAACTTTTCATCTGTCAGAAGTGATTTCGCCGAGGTTTTCCCTTACAATGTATTACACACGAGTGAACACTGTCCAGGTGATGAGATAATTAAACATGTAATAACATATAAAAGTGAAGTAATAGGGCCCCTATTCTCCCACAGCATGACGCACTGAACTCTAATCCAATTGAATGCCCATGTGCTAATTTCCACCAGGTGGTGTACGTGCAAAAATGTGCGAATACGGACTATTTAATGGGCTCGCTGGCAATCTGTAGTAAATGCAGTTGTAAAACAAGTAGTCAATGAATACAAGACTCTGACGTCGATTATTCCGATCGAAGCTATAATTAAATCCCCGTTAACTCCAAAGCGTAACATGTAACTCTCGATAAAGGTCAGTGCTGACGACACGATCCAACGATCCAACGAACCTCGAATATTGATCATTGGAATTTGATAGGCGGTGCGCGCTCCACCGCAAACGAATGTGACATCTTATTAGTGCCTAATTAATACATAATAGGGGGTCTTTTTGGTTAGCCATCAGTATGGAAATTCGAGCAGAGAGGCCAATCGCATAGGACCAAAACAGGTCTTAGAAATTACAATTTTAGGCGCCGTTAGCCGAATTTCACATTCAAAGGCGATTCTGAAATTATCATAATCGTAATCATCGCGTTGGTCGCCATTCATTATCTCTCACCCATATCTGTGGGGATTTAGTAGTTAAGCCAGTGTATTTGCACCCTTTAGAACAAACATTTGCCCAGCGCTAACTGCCGCAAAATGATAAGACCAAGATCATACCATACAACGCTGATAAGGAGCGATGACCCTGGCAACGGGTGTTCACTGTGGGGCCATCCACCACCATCCACCCCTTTTCCGCCCCTCCAGCGCCCTGAAATGGAACGCGTGACGAATTTGTGCCACATATGCAAATTTGCCCACTTACGTAAAGATCGCTCGATCCATCGGAGCAATGCTATTAGCCCAAGATTACGACCGTTGGTAAGCGAACTGCTTAAGAATACGCAGTGTTATCTGGCCAGTTAAGATACGATAATAGTGGGGAGATAGCGACGGAAAACAAGAGCAGAAGCAGATAGGCGGCCATATAAGATGGGCGGGCCAAACAAGTTTCGCGGCATTTGCCTTAATTAGTCAATTAATCAAAGCAGCGGAGTGAGGATCGCTTCGGATTGTATCGGATTGTATCGCATTGGTTCTGATCAGAACAGAACGCATTGATTCGGATCGCCTTCTACGCTGACAGGTCGTTATTTGTTATGGCCAATGCTTATGGCTCAATTCGCATAGGCAGCAAACAGCAAACAAAAACAAACGTCAGCTTTGCATACTAAGTGCCTCATTAGGGACACGGCAGTGCCGGGGATCTCGGTCGTAAACCACACACGACGACCCATCAAGTGGCTTCGCATTTTTATATAAGCATAAACAAAACGGGCCGCCTAGAATTTTTCGCCATTTACCCATGCACTCGGGCATGCGGCTTGAATAATTAATTAACGCCTTCGTGAGTCACAAAATGCAATGCACTGCTAAGTATTTTGTGTCACCTTCTTTCACAAACTAACTAATTTATTATTTTCCTTTTGTTACAGCGGATTCCCAATGAGAACTGCGACAACTTGGCCGACTATTTGAGTATCCAAAGAGCGGCCCAGGCCCAGAAGAATCACATCCAGTCCCAGGATCCGGCTCAGATGTCCCTGCTCAAGTTCTTGGCCATTGTAAGTACCCCAAGTTGTTTACACACTCGCGTCGTGTCAATTGGCCAGAAACTTTCCACCGGAGCGCTTCCTGGTCAGGAGCCTCGGACAATGTGCGATCGGTTGGCCTGGCGGGTCTGCCTGCATAAATTTCACGTTTACGAGGCTGCGAGTTGGGCGTGGCCCTTCGACTGGCAAATAAAATTCGTTTGATTATTTATAATCGCCCCCGGCGGACAGTAATGTTCTCCTCTGGCGAAAAAGATCGAGGCAAACCCGTTCGCGGCCGCGATAACTGCAATTTATCAATGAATGTGTATTTCTTGTTCTCTTTTACTAAGATCATTTCTCCTTTTGTTTCCAGAATGCCCTAGAGCTGAGTGCCCCAGCCACGCCACATCTTCTCCAGCATCAACAGGCCCACACGCAGGCGAAGCCACAGGGCTGGATGCAGCTTTCCGGGCACCCAGAAAGGTAAGAATCTTAGAATGTATTTCGAAATTTTAGGAAACAACAATTTTATCACCCCTCAGCATCAGCATTATATTAGTTCAATTACTAACTGCTCGTATTATTCTTTTTTCCAGCATTGTTCCCACATCGACTGGAATAGTGCGCAAACGGATCTCAGGACTGGAGGATAGCGAAGTACATGCCTACCGATTGATCTGCAAGGAACCACAGACCGCTCAGATAGTGCCCGCCTACTTTGGAATACAGGAGATGCAATCGCAGTACTTCATTGAACTGCAGGATCTGCTGTCCGGCTTCCGGGATCCGTGTGTGATGGACATCAAGATGGGCAGCCGCACCTTCCTCGAATCGGAGGTCAGCAACGCGACGCTCAGACCGGATCTCTACCAGAAGATGATCGCCGTGGATGCTGGAGCTGTCACGGCTGCGGAACACGAGGCACGAGCGATCACCAAGCTGCGGTACATGACTTTCCGGGAGTCCCTATCCTCCTCGCAATCCAAGGGATTCCGGATCGAGGCACTGCGTTTGCGCGGACGACCTCCAGTTAAGGATTTAAAGACCTGCCGGAGCAGCGAGCAGATTGCCCAGACCATTGAACAGTTTTTGGCCGCTCGCCGTTCCGTGCAAAAGGAGCTGCTGAAGCGACTGAAGCACATGCGCCTGGTCATCGAGCAGTCGTCCTTCTTCGCCCGCCACGAGATCATTGGCTCCAGCATCTTCATCGTCTACGATGACGATCGCGTTGGCGTTTGGCTAATTGACTTCGCCAAATGCCGTGAGCTGCCGCCGCAGGTGAGGGTGGACCATCGAAGTGCCTGGACGCCGGGAAACCGCGAGGAGGGTCTGCTTCGCGGAATGGACGAGCTCATCCGCTCCTTCGAGGAGGTATACGCCCGCTGTGGTTCCAATCGCAGCTGCCTGAAAATCTAATGGATGGACACGGATCGATTGCACCTGCAGCTGGATCTGCACCAAAAGACTGATCACCCAAGCTCCATTTGTACAGATAGAAAGTGAGATAAGAGAAGAGGATTCACCGCATCGCCCGGGCTGAGCTCCAACCTATATTACCGCCTTGTTCCATATTGGAAATATCGGGAGTCAGCTCGGTTAGAAATTGTAAGACTAGCTGGAAGAAAAATAACGATTAGTATTGATCACCAAGCAGCATTTGTTTGATTGAAACAGGTTTAAACTAAGTATTTGTGCAAAGCAATTGAAATCTAAACACAAAAAATAAAATATCTTAAGAAAGTGAAGCTTTTCGTTTGAATTCTTGTAAGTGGAAAATCGGCAGAAAGGTGATGTGTAAATACATTAAAGTGAACAATTTTGAAGATAAGCCTTGAATGGGAAACTTATTTTTATGTCTAGATAAAAACGAAATCCTATTCTTAGTACAATATCAACTGACTGTGAATTCAAACAGACCGCCAATTTTTCGCTAACAGACCTGTTATAGTTTACAGCGTGTATTTCGCTGCGATTGGTATCTTGTAAAAAGACCAACTACCGGTATATTTCGGACATTCGGTCACACTGGCCATTGTTATTAACGTGTTTTTGCGCAATTCGTCGTAGGATGAATACAATTCGTCCTTGTGGTTGCAAGGGTGTGCGCACCTGCTTAAGCTGCGAACAGGACTTTCAGATAGCGAAGCCCTCGCTGCAGGAGCAGTTCCAGCAACTGGAAGCCTGGTCCTACTGCATCCAGTGCGATCTTCTGCAGCCGGGTTGGGATACCACTAAAGTCCAAAAGGATCATGAACATCACAAAAAGGACGAGGGCCTTCCACTGCCGGGCATCCTGGTGCAGGAGAAATTCCTCAGTGCGGAGGAGGGCTCCCGACTGATAGCCGACCTGGATGACCTGCCATGGGACATCTCGCAGAGCGGCAGGCGGAAACAGAACTTCGGACCCAAGACTAACTTCAAAAAGCGCAAGCTGCGTTTGGGATCTTTTGCAGGATTCCCCAGGACAACGGAATACGTGCAGCGGCGCTTCGAAGAGGTTCCCCTGCTTCGTGGCTTTCAGACCATCGAACAGTGCTCCCTGGAGTACGAGCCCAGCAAAGGAGCCAGCATAGATCCGCACGTGGACGATTGCTGGATTTGGGGAGAGCGAGTGGTGACTGTCAACTGCCTCGGCGACGCCGTGCTCACGCTGACGCCCTTCGAAGTCCAACCACCGGGCAAGTATAACTTGGACTTGGTGGCTAGCTACGAGGATGAACTGCTGGCGCCGCTGTTGAATGAGGACCAACTTGCCAGTTTCGAGGGCAAGGTGCTGCGCATCCCTATGCCAAAGTAAGTGGAACTATTGTCCACTTTTCCGTGTTGATTTACTATTTCTGCGTTTTAGTCTTTCCTTGATAGTTTTGTATGGACCAGCGAGGTACCAGTTTGAGCATTCCGTGCTCCGCGAGGATGTCCAGGAACGCCGCGTGTGTGTTGCCTACCGGGAGTTTACGCCCATGTACATCAATGGAGAAGATATCCAAAAGGGGGATCCTGTCCGAGAAAAGTCCCACATATTTTGGCAAATAAACTAGCAAAGAAGATCAATGTAACTATGTTATATTAACTTTATTAGGTGCGAGGACTATCCCGATCCTGACTGGCTGGCCTGTAATCCAGCAGTGCCACCTGTGCGGGCAGTTGAACTCCATGAATTTTCTTCAAATGAGCCCTCAGATTGCTGCTGGTGCTAAAGTTGTTGGAGCAGACGACGCACTGGTGTTGCGAGTGCTTGTGCCGGATGTGCTCATTGAGATCGCGAACCTTGGCAAAGGCGGTGGTGCAGTACTTGCAGACGTGAGAATTGCGCACATGGGTTTTCAGATACTGGGGCGAGGCGTAAGCCAGTGGGCAGTACTGGCACTTGTAGATGGCCTGGCTGCCACTGGGCTCCACGTCCAGCAGGCGATTAGCCTCGTTGTACTCGTCCAGGTTGTAGTGTTTCAGTTCGACGGCCGCATAGTCCACGGTGCGCATCTCGTATGCTGGAGACTGAAGTTGTTTAAGCTGAGAGTCGGATAAATCCAGACGTGGTTGGGCTGTGGAGGCAGGCAGGAACTCGGAGACAATCAGTGAATCTTGGTTGGCCAGCCTTTGAGAGGGTTTTGCACCGCTATTCCATCTTCTCCTCGTTTCTCTTCTTTCTGTAGGATGTTCGGGCTCTGGAACTACATAATCTAGAGGTACAAATTCCTCCAGCATCTCGTATTCCTCATCAGCCTGGTTTTCCGGCTGTTCGTCCTTTGGGTGCTTCTCAACCTGGCACATTTCTACCTCCGCCTCGTTGTAGAGCTGCAGTAGCTGCTGATTGGCGAACTTTAGCTTCCTGAAAAAGGCGTACTGCTGCAGGCAATCTCCCAGGCAACCATCACAGATCATGGGTAGCTCCTCAGTAAGATTAAGCGCTATGTTCTGTGGAATATTTATCGTATGCATTATTGTTCAAGCCATTTCGAAAGTCCTACCCTGCCGAACATGGCCTCTATCAACTCGAGGACCGTCTGATCCGAGCTGCCGCTGCTCCTGTGCTCCCGTATATCCACCGAGGCGCTGTCCACGAAGCAAATACGGCACAGTTTACGCAGGTCCATGGGTATATTATTGATTTAATGCAATGTAAATATAAATATAATGTAATATAAATTCAAGGAAATGAAAACATGTAAACAATAGTGTGGCTAAATACTGTTCAGTTATGAACCCTAGAATTTGTGGTAAGCATGTATATATTTTAGTATTTTTAATCAATGGAAATTTACAATAACTGAAAAAATACCACAACAAAAAAGTTGTGGGCGTGACAGTCTTGAGCGGTTTGTGGGCGTTGGAGTGGGCACATTTGGAAACAAACTTACAAAATTACAAAAAAATTAAATTACAAAAATTTTCTTAATTGCGACAGAAATATTTAGAGGTATTCCACTTCAAAAGCAGATAGAGATAAGTTGAGTTATGGAGTTGAGAACTTCAGCTTTGGGTCATTTTTTATTTTTTTGGAACTTCTACAGCATCATAACATCAAGAATATTACAAAAAAATTAAAATATAATGAATTTCTAAATTGGAATGCAGATTTTTAGAGAATTGCGCCAGAAACATTTAGAGGTATTCCACTTCAAAAGCCGATTAAGATAAGTTGAGTTATGGAGTTTAGAACTTCAGCTGAGGGGCATTTTTTAATTTGTTTAAATTTCTACATCATTTAAATTGTCGCATTTCGATAAATTTGCGAAAAATGGCAAAAAATTAAAATTTGTTTGTTTAATAACAGGTCGATAGGAAATTTAGTTACGAATTCAACGAGGTATGACATTCTACTTTTGGACAACTATTTTTGTTGCTATCGTCAAAATACTGATTATTTTTCACATAAAATTATTTTTACAAATTTTCGCATTTTCGATAAGGGGTACCATCATCAAAATTTGCGAAAAATGGCAAAAAATTAAAATTTGTTTGTTTAATAACAGGTCGATAGGGAATTTAGTTACGAATTCAACGAGGTATGACATTCTACTTTTGGACAACTATTTTTATTGCTATCGACAAAATACTGATTATTTTTCACATAAAATTATTTTTACAAATTTTCGCATTTTCGATAAGGGGTACCATCATCAAAATTTGCGAAAAATGGCAAAAAATTAAAATTTGTTTGTTTAATAACAGGTCGATAGGAAATTTAGTTACGAATTCAACGAGGTATGACATTCTACTTTTGGACAACTATTTTTGTTGCTATCGTCAAAATACTGATTATTTTTCACATAAAATTATTTTTACAAATTTTCGCATTTTCGATAAGGGGTACCATCATCAAAATTTGCGAAAAATGGCAAAAAATTAAAATTTGTTTGTTTAATAACAGGTCGATAGGGAATTTAGTTACGAATTCAACGATGTATGACATTCTACTTTTGGACAACTATTTTTATTGCTATCGACAAAATACTGATTATTTTTCACATAAAATTATTTTTACAAATTTTCGCATTTTCGATAAGGGGTACCATCATCAAAATTTGCGAAAAATGGCAAAAAATTAAAATTTGTTTGTTTAATAACAGGTCGATAGGAAATTTAGTTACGAATTCAACGAGGTATGACATTCTACTTTTGGACAACTATTTTTGTTGCTATCGTCAAAATACTGATTATTTTTCACATAAAATTATTTTTACAAATTTTCGCATTTTCGATAAGGGGTACCATCATCAAAATTTGCGAAAAATGGCAAAAAATTAAAATTTGTTTGTTTAATAACAGGTCGATAGGGAATTTAGTTACGAATTCAACGAGGTATGACATTCTACTTTTGGACAACTATTTTTATTGCTATCGACAAAATACTGATTATTTTTCACATAAAATTATTTTTACAAATTTTCGCATTTTCGATAAGGGGTACCATCATCAAAATTTGCGAAAAATGGCAAAAAATTAAAATTTGTTTGTTTAATAACAGGTCGATAGGAAATTTAGTTACGAATTCAACGAGGTATGACATTCTACTTTTGGACAACTATTTTTGTTGCTATCGTCAAAATACTGATTATTTTTCACATAAAATTATTTTTACAAATTTTCGCATTTTCGATAAGGGGTACCATCATCAAAATTTGCGAAAAATGGCAAAAAATTAAAATTTGTTTGTTTAATAACAGGTCGATAGGGAATTTAGTTACGAATTCAACGATGTATGACATTCTACTTTTGGACAACTATTTTTATTGCTATCGACAAAATACTGATTATTTTTCACATAAAATTATTTTTACAAATTTTCGCATTTTCGATAAGGGGTACCATCATCAAAATTTGCGAAAAATGGCAAAAAATTAAAATTTGTTTGTTTAATAACAGGTCGATAGGGAATTTAGTTACGAATTCAACGAGGTATGACATTCTACTTTTGGACAACTATTTTTATTGCTATCGACAAAATACTGATTATTTTTCACATAAAATTATTTTTACAAATTTTCGCATTTTCGATAAGG